GAGAGGTAATGGTGTCGTGGGTGGGGATGAATATGGCTTGTTTCGATAGACGGTCTATTACGACGAGGATGGCTGTAAAGCCGGATGAATCCGGAAGATGCTCTATGAAATCCATGGAGATGGAATTCCAAGGCTTTTCCGGTATGGGTAACTGCTTTAGCAATCCGTATGGTTTATGTCTCGGAACCTTAGCTCGGCCACAGGTAGTACAGGACTTGACATAGTCCTTGACATAAGTACGTATTCCTGGCCAAGTATACTCGCGTCGGATGAGGTCTAGTGTCCGATTTTGACCGAAATGTCCGGACAAGGGGTGATCATGAGTATTTCGGAGGACGCGAAGTCGGAGGTTATTGGATTCCGGAACATATATACGGTTGTCGCAGCGGAGGAAACCACTATCGTCTACCGTCCATCTCGGATCCGAAGGTTCCGGAAGATGATTGGACGCGATAGGGTCTTTGGGAAGTGCGGTCAGGATGTCTTTCCGAAGCTGGTCGATATCTATCAGAACGGCTGCCTAAGAACCGGAGTTGCTAAGGTTGAGGCTCGTAGGGACGAAGCTAACTGTTCCGAAGTGAATACCGGACGGAAATTATGAGGGTTGACTCGAGCGTAGTCCTTATCCCCCTCTTTAGGGTAGACGTCCCAGCGTCTAGTAAGGGAATCCGGTTTAGCTCCGAGTTTTCCGGGACGGAAACGGATGACGAGATTGAACTGATGGAGGAATTCCGACCAGCGGGCCTGACGGCGAGAGAGGAGTTTTGTGGTAGAGAAGTACTCAAGGTTCTTGTGGTCCGTGACAACGTCTATCGGCTCGGCAGAGCCTTCAAGGTAATGTCGCCACGTCCGAAAAGCTTCATGGATGGCTAGAAGTTCCTTATCGTGAGTGTCGTAGTTGAGTTCCGGAGCGGTAAGCGTCCGAGAATAAAAGGCTACCGGACGAAGCTCTGAGTCCGGACATACTATGGAAAGTATACCGGCTATAGCGTAATCAGAGGCGTCGGTTTCTACGACTATCGGAACATTCGGAATCCAGTGCGTAAGCACCGGAGCGGACGTGAAAGCTTTCTTGAGTGTTTCAAAAGACTTCCGACAATCATCGGAAAAGTCCCAAGTAACCCCCTTGCGGGTAAGACGGGTGAGCGGAACTACGATATCCGAGTAATTGAAAATGAATCGACGATAGAAATTTGCGAATCCGAGGAAGGATTGAATATCCTTAACTTTCCGAGGTCCGGCCAATCGACAATGGCCTGGACCTTCTCGGACGACATGGTCAAGCCGTCCGGAGATAGGAGGTAACCAAGGTATTCAACGGATGTGGTGTGGAACGCGCATTTTTCGGGTTTAGCATAGAGTCGATGTTTTCGGAGACGGAGGAGAACTTCTCGGACATGTTCCTTATGGGATGCAAGGTCTTGGGAATAGATGAGGATGTCGTCCAGATATACGATAACGCATACATCCAGCATATCAGCAAACACGCTATTGACAAAGCGTTGGAATGCGGCCGGAGCGTTAGTGAGACCTTCCGGCATCACCAACCATTCATAAGAGCCATAGCGCGTTCGGAAAGCAGTCTTCCATTCGTCTCCTTCTGCTACTCGGACAAGGTGATAAGCGGATCGGAGGTCGATTTTGGTATATACTTTAGCGCGGCTCGGAGAGTCTAGAAGGTCGGTAATGAGGGGTAACGGATATCGGTCTTTCTTGGTAATCTGGTTAAGTCCACGGAAATCTACACAGAGGCGAAGGGAGCCATCCTTTTTCTTGACGAACAGGACGGGAGCTCCGTGAGGAGAGGATGAGGAACGGAGGAGTCCGGAGGAAATGTTTTCATCAAGAAACTTCCGGAGGGCTGCGAGCTCAACTGCAGATAGAGAATAAATGGTTCCGAGGGGCGGACTAGTTCCTTCCTCTAACTCGATTTTGAGATCGTAGGGACGATGAGGAGGAAGTTGGCTAGCTTTGCCTTTATCGAACACATCCGAAAATTCATGATATTCCGGAGGAATTCCGGATAGGTCCGGAGGATCGGACGAAAGGGTAGCGGACCGGAGGTCTACACCGGTCGGACGAAGGTAGATGCTGAACTGTTCCGATCCTTCCAATTTGCAGGCCCGGCAAAAGGCAACTGCATTTATCAAGGAAATATTGGGGATGGTTTTATCAGCGGAGGTTCCGGATGTAGTCGGAGGAGGTAAATCTTCCATCGGAGGAGGGGTATCCGGAGACGGAAGCGACGTCGGAGGTGTCGAAGGCATTCCATGAGAAGTCGTTCGGAAATCGATGCTGCCCGAAACCCAGTCAATCAACGGATTGTGTAGGGTGAGCCAGCTATATCCTAGAACGATAAAACAAGAAGAATCCAACGGAGTAACGTAAAACGTATCGGAGGTGACTACACCGGACGGAAAACGAATGGGCAAATCTATAGCTTCGGAAATCATATTATTACAAGTACCATCAAACAAACGGAGAGAAAGCGGAGGTATCGGATATGTAGGGATTTTATTTTTTCGGACGAAATCAGAGTCTATAAAACAATGTGAGGAACCACAATCTATTAGAGAAGAAAACGAGGAAATATCAGGAAAAGTAGGAAGAGAAATGTATGGACATAGAGAGTTCGGATCGGAAAGAGAAACAGCGTTGAGACGTAGCTCCGTTGCACGGGTAGAGTCAACGCAACCCTCATCCCGTGCGGAGTCAGGAGGGTTGCGGACTATTTTTTTGCTTCATCCGAAGCCTCCGGTTTGTCTTCCGGAGTGACTACTGCAGCACGGCCTTTGGCAGCGCGCGAAGTAGACTTGGTGCATTCCCGAGCCGAATGGCCGGGTCCGCCGCAGAATAGACAGAGTTTATTATCCATCCGTCTCTTACGTTCTTCGGACGTGAGCTTTCCGTCCTTTCCTAACTTGGAGGTAAGGTCCGGAGCTTTAGAGGCGGAGGAGGATGTGGAAGTAGCGGGTTTGTCGGATTTGAATCTCGCGGATCCGGACGGGTTGGAATTCGTCCGGTCCGAAGTGGGTTGCTTAGGTGGATTGGAGGTGGTGGGTTTGGTTTCGCGGGCAACTTCTCCCTTCCGTTCCCAGTATCGTGCGTCGATAGTCTGGGCAAGGGTCTTGTATTCGGAAAGGGTAGAGGGCTTACCCATGCGACTGATTTCATCTTTGATACGAGCCGGAAGTCCGTTATAGAATTGGCGTCTTAGGGCACCGTCACCCCAGCCACGGACTTGTGAAGCAAGACGCTGAAACTCAACAACATATTTATTAATGCGTTGTCCGTCACGCATGTGAAGTTGTTCGAGTTGTTGTTCCGCATCACCGGACGGATCGTGAGGTCCGAAATTGGTTTGTAATTCTAACATGAACGCGGAGTAATCATCCATCCAATCCGGACGATCATCGTCCTCGTCGGATAGGAGGTCCGGTTCGAACCACTCGAGTGCCATACCCTTAAGGTAGGATTGGGCGAAGTTGACTTTAGCCCGTCCGGTACGGAAAGACTTGGGTTTGCTTTGGAAATGAAGCTCGCATTGGACGAAGAATGCACGAAGCTTCCGAGGCTCAGTGCCATCGAAAGTATCGGGTTCGCGGATCTTGACTTTGGAATCTTCGGACGAGATGGGACGACGGTTGTTGCGTGCGAGATTGTCAATGGCTTCGGAAAGCCGGAGCATGATGCGGTCTTGTGGGTTTAGTCCGTCATTTTCGTCGTCATCGTCCGGATCATCATCCGGATTACCTCCGAAATCATCCGGAGGGTCTTCATCGTCGGGTCCTTCATCATCCGGAGGTCCTCCAGCGGCAGTACGCGTAGGCGTAGGAGTCACCGGATGCGGACGATTCAAGAGTTGAGAAATACTTTGAGCAGGAACGCTTGAGACACGTCGCTGCGAGAAACTGGTGAAGGCGTTAACTATGGAGGTTGGATCGCGTCGGCTGGATGAGAGTCCGACTGCGTGCAGAGCGGCTTGGTTTACTTTAGTAGGAGCCATGATATGAGTAAGTGTACTTGGAAAGGTGTGAGTTCGAATATACTGTTAAGGTCGTACTCTCGTAGGATCGGATCCGAAGGACTTCGGCCTCAGCTCGTACGCTGTGCCCCTTTCCCAAGTACTGTCCCTTATTTCAGAGACTAACGATAACGCGTCCGAAGGTCCGGACGGGTCTCGTAGTTATATCCGGATGACTTCCGGATATCGGAAACACGTATAAGACTAATCCGGACGGATCCGGACTAGAAACAAACAGAGTATAGACTATCCGAAGATAGAGGCGGAGACGTAGACTATCGGAATCGATCCGAAGTCTCAGAGATCGACAAGAGTTGTTTAGACTCAAGTCCGGAGGACAGAAAGAGGACAAACTAAGATGATATTCGAACTGAGGTACTACAGGAAATATACACGGGTTTATATACTAAGAGGATAACGGAAGGATCAATAAGCAAAGGTCCGAGGCTATGTACGAAGCATATGCAAAGCTTATCAAACGCGAGTCGGAAATGAAGCATAGGATAACGGATCAGTAATCATACCGGGAATAAGTATAACCGAGACACCGGGAAGAGGAAATACCGAATAGGCTGTGTTTAACGTTATATGAACAGGAAATGAATTAAGAAGCTTATCGGATATCGGACCGGACGCGGATCTATGCATCGGACCGGACCGGATCTAAGGGTCCGAAGTCCGGAAGAGAAGCGTGGATATATGGGATATGACAAACGGCCCCTAATTGCCAAAAATTTTTATTATTCCATTACTATTACAGGTACTAGTTTATGTTCACTATCTTCCAACAAACAGAGCCTTGGGGACTCGACAGAATCATGTCCGTCTACAAACCAGATGTGATGTGCAAACTGCTGTCAATGCTGGAGCCGAAAGACATGCAGAAAAAATTCGAGGCAAACTGGAAAGATGCGCTAAGCACTGGCATGCAGAACTTCACATATTGACACTGACCTGCTAATGACCATTGTGCTAGGTGAAAAAATGTGTTGGGTCATGGACAGGACATACCGAACGCATGACCAATCCAAGACCCAGGCGCCAGTGTGAATGGGAAGCTGAAGTCGTCGAGTACATCAACTATCTCTTGGAGAAGATACGAATACGATCAGTGAAAGCACTCACTCGACCATGCCTGGACAGCAGGATTCAAATACTTGGCCCTCATTTCCTGCTGCCATCTTACCTCCATGCCCGAAAGCGCAATCAGTCTGAGCCTCCCATTAATCCAGAGGTCTTGTACTTGAAGCCTCTTCGCATCATACATCCATTCTACCACCCTGAGCTTGCAAGATGTCCTCAATGTGATTGTGCAGATGGTGTTTCGTGGGATGGATGGACTGGGACCGGTCCTCGGGATTTTCATGGATTAATGCTTGATGAGGCAGCGATAGGCACACAGCTCTGCTGCGAGAGTTGCAGAAACGATCCGACAAGTAAGAAGGGTCTAGAAAGTGAGTGTGAGCGTAACGGCTTGAACAACAGAAAGACATACCAATATTTTTCTACAGATGTGCTGTTACTCGCGAGCTATTCGATCTAGTCATTGAGATTATCTACAGCAGGAACACTTGCTGAAAACATCCGACGTGAGTAGCACTATCTACTTCTCAAACACTGGTCTAATGCACCTTCAAAGAACTTCATTTGCTTCAGTACAACAAGTGGAAGCTGGAATACCTTCAAGCTTGGAGATCACGCCGAATGACACAACATGGGATGGATTTCTTTAGCCCGAATCCACTTCGGGCATTCTCGGATCCTTATGACGTAAAAGAGTACAATGTGAGGCCAATCTCGCATGACATGGTCAGCGAGATCTTCCAGGAGTTTGTGTCAGGAACACGGGAAAGGGAGTCAGAGGAATATCTTCGCACTCTCTCTGGTGAGAAATTGCTCTGCTATCAGTACTTAACACTCACCTTGTATGCTGAGCAGGCATAAGCATTTCATTCGACAACACATTCCGTGCCGCTACGAAGGCAACCATAACCAACCGAGAGAAACAGAAGTTGAATGTCCTGAAGGGAGGGATTATAAGTTTGATGAATGAGAATAATGAGATTGTGGGCTGGGTAGGTCATCTTTCGCAAACTGAATAAGATGGTGCCTAAACTGATATGGCTGATTACTACATTAGCGCTTCTGTCATGGCCAGTCAAATGCCAAAATAAGTGAGCTTCTTGAAGGCCTCAAGATACGATGCAAAGCTCTTGACATCCCTGCACCTGAAGTGTTTGTTGCCGACAACTGTTGCCATGTTTGCAGTGCTGTGAATGTCATTTTCCCTGATGCTACAATGAAACTGGATGTCTGGCATTTCATTATGAGGCAAGCACATTTTCCTTGGCATCTAATAATCTACAAGCTAATTCTAAGAGCAAGATACGCAACTGTTATCCTCAATTCCTCCAAGAATCCCCACCGGAAAGAGGTAGTCGCAGAGATCTCGGCCTGTATCCTGAAGAAACATGCTGAGGGTGGGAATCCTGCGAAGTACTGGGATCAGACTGAGCAGGAGATGAGACTTACCTCGACATTTGAGAAATGGGCTTGCGAAGGCACAGTTTGGTCAGCAGGAGCACACAGAGTGAGTACTTGTCCTAGGAAATCCTGTTTCGCACTAACATCAAGGTCAGGTTCATGAGGAACAGCTCAAACACGTACAGAAAGGCTGCCTTGAACGTCAGCAGCAGGACATATGAACAGATGGAAGCCGTGTGGAGGGGTCTCACAAAGGCTGGAACTCACTCCAGCGTGCGCACACCAGCGGAATTGTGACCTTCACAGGCCTTTGCCATGACTTTGTTCTTCAACGGAACATTTGTGTTGCCTTTTCGAGGGCAAGCAAATCAGACTTCATCACATCAACTCACGGCTCTCATCATGTTCACCTCATCAATAGGATCGCGAAGCAATTCAACAACCTCCGACTCGAAGACAAGGCCACCAGCACATGTTGCCTGCCAGAGCTTGTGGAAACCCCATCTGAGGAGCATTTCAGGCTTGTCAAATCAAGTTTTGTGTCCATGTTTGGTGGGCTACTGGATGTCAAGGCCGAAGAGTCACCAGTGGAGCTCGATATGACTGGCCCCAAGTTGCTTGAGCCACTCAGTGGCGAAGGCGATGCACTTAACCTTGCTCTGCAGTCTGCAAGGTCTGAAATACTTGAGGAACTTAACATTGACCCGCAGCTTCTTTCCCAGCCTCAGGCACCCTTCGATGCGCAGCTGACACTGTCCTGCCCTCCTGCAACCACCACAATCCCCACAGCCGCAGTGGCAGAAGTTGCTGACACCAGCAAGGCCACGTCTCATTTGGCCGCCATCACGACAAACACTCAGCCACAACCAACAATGAAGCGCAAGGCAGATGACATTGTTGCCATCTCAGAAAACGAGTCTGAAGATTCTGGCCAACCCAGGGCAGCGGCATGCAAGCCACGCTGTAAAATCATGCGGCATATGACCACCACCACTGGTGCTGATGCTCCAGAAGTTGCTGCATCACTGTCAAATCAGGTAAGCCCACTCTTCCTCTTTGATAATCCTCCTTCTATGAAAGACTCATCTTACAAAAAATTTACCACCTCGTATGAAAAACTTCACTTTCCTCCCATCTTCCTCCTCCATCATACCTATCTCCCTCTTCTATGGACTGACTTATCTTACAAAAAATTCGCCACCTCGTACGAAAAACTTCACTTTCCTCCCATCTTTCCCTCCCCACCATACCTACCTCCCTCTTCTGTGGACGACTCATCTTATGAAAAATTCACCACCTCATATGAAAAACTTCACTTCCCTCCCATTCTCCCTCCTATTATACCTACTACCTCCCTCTCTCTTACAAATGACTCATCTTACGAAAAATTCACCGCCTCGTATGAAAAACTTCACTTTCCTCCCATCTTTCCCTCCCATTATAACCTACCTCTGATCCGCATTGCAGGGGATTTCTCCAGTCACACTGGACCATTACCTCAAACCAAGAAGCCAGCTGCCACACTGCAAAGCTCTCTCACAATGGCCGTCGGATGCCAGTGCCAGCACTCAGTGTCAACTTCCTGCAGTCATACTCAGCTCCACTCCCCCAAACCCAGTTTCAGTGACCGGTCCTGCTGGTACTACCACTCTCACACCCATCCTGAGGCCCCCAGGGATGACTCGTTCTCAACACTTCTTCACTATTGCCACAAGAATCGACGCCCGTGCCATGCAAATCTCCAGCAATATCGAGTTTCACTTGTTCATGGACATGAGAGCCGAGTTCATGTGGATCTCATTCAAGATGACGCCCAAACAGTGGGCTGTAGCTACTGAGACCTACAATAAATATCTTGAGGAGAAGAATCGCGCTAATGGGCTCGAAATGGTGAAGAAGAACCCCCAGGCCCTTCTCTGAAAGCTCAGCAAGATCGAGGTGCTCGTGATGAACCATGTGGCAAAGAGTGACTTCAAATGTAAGTTCAGCTGCTTCACTGGCATTTTTCATGCACTAACTACTTGCTTTATTCACAATACAGCTCGTTCTGATTCGGAAACCTTCTGGAGAAGGCACTGTCACGCTATTGAACTCATCAAGGCTGAGCCTGGGAAGAAGGTGCGCAAGTCTTTCTTGAACTTCTTGTGTTTGCTCACTCTCTACTACCCTTGCTTCCAGATTCGCAAGGCACACACATGCTCCCGCTGCAAGACCATCATGTACCCTGGTCCCGAGAACTCGGGGTACAACCATCGACGGGGCTTTTGTGCTGACGGCGCCAAGCAGGTGTCCAAAATTGAGCTGCCTCCACCCTGGCCACAGCCACCAGGCATATTCTCCGAAGGCAAGCACTTCCATCCACGCGCCTTCCTCGAAACCGTCAAGCAAATCTATGAACAAGTATTCCTACGGCCTTCCGGTGAAAGCCCTGCCCTCGAACAGGAGGCATTTGCAACAATGCTGCTGGACTGGTCAATGACACTCGAATCAGGGACAGTGTTGTTTAAGTTGTATGAGGAGCTGGAGATTTATGGAATGACACCGGATGTGCTGCTAACTGTGCACAACAGTGTCAAGCACCTTCGCATCGAGTATCTGCAGGAGCACTGGGCCATGTCATAGTGTTTTTTTTAATCTTCATTCCAATTCATGCTATTGACACTCGTCTCATCCTTGTTTTTCTTAGCATTTTCACTACCCTAATGTCCACATTTTGTACATACATTAGCTTCCCCTCACCTCCATCAGTCCCTGTCCTCCACTTCACATCATTCTCTCCCCGTTCCGCATGATAGCTAGCTTTGTGTCTCCCTCCTCCGTTTTCTCAACCAATGTCACGTGACTTATGATTGGTCTTGCAAATGGTCTTCACATGCACGACCATTTTGGCGTCACGTGAGACCAAAAATGGTCCATCCCTTCACATGGCAAAGTTGCCAAGATAAGTCTGAAAAGTGAGAAATAAAATACAAGACAATGAAATAAAGGAAAAATAGAGAGGTAACTTAGTGACAGAGGGCTAGACAGTCTCTCATATCTTCCTTATCACTCTCTATATATATCTGACATGGTATGAATCACATACCATGCATGACAGCGTGACAATTGATGATTGGTAACTAGATTCCGCTGATCAACCATTTCAAAGTCACTGGCGATAGTAAACAAAGCCGCATTTAGAAACTGTCTTGTTGCAATGCGTCCTTCTGCAACCAAGGCCGATATTCCCTCAACACATGATATTACAGTGTTCATTCATAACTCCTTCCTTGATTTCTTCATGCAAATCAAGTCTGAAATCCAAGTAAGTCATGTTTATGTTAACAAGTTACACTAACTAGATCTATTCGCCTCATAGTCTTCAAATAGTGGTCACATCTCAACAACAGACCTTTGGTCTGTTGATCAGACAAAGGCCACCTTATTTGGTCTCACTGCACACTGGATACATGGACACTGCAGTCACAGGTGGTTGCATTCAAAGGTATATTGGGTGCTCATAGTGGAGAAAACTTAGGACACTACTTTGTTGGGCTGTGTGAACGTGCGGGGATTGTGTCTGGTCATCAAAGGTATGCAAGTTCTAACTCATGTGTTAGGACCGTGCACAAAGGGTAGGACTGATTCTGAGGGGCTTGGCTTCAGCTTGTGCGCTGCACCCCTTACCCGAGTATGTGCCCTTAATTTCAGAATGATGTCCGAAGGACATCCAAAGTGCGGGAAAGTTCGGAAGGACTTTCCAGACGAGTGCAAGTAACTTCCGGATGAGTGCAGGAAAGTTCCGGAGGAACTTCTGGAAATTACGATGAGGTTTCATCCTGATACGGATACGTGTAATGGCTACTTAGGACAAGTCCGAAGTAGAAGCAAACAGAGGAAAGGCTGCAAGGACAAAGTCCGAAGCAGAATAGGTCCGGAGGACCGCAGGAAAGTTCTGGAGGAACTTCCGGAAACTTAGAGGAGTTTAGGATCGGAGGAGCGGAGCTCCGGCCTAGGGAATTCCTCCCTAGGCCTAAGGTGGATGTTAACAAGGAAGGAACTAGTTGTGAGGACTTAGTGTGAAGACTAGTGCAAGGACTAATATGATATTCAGACTGAGGAACTACAGGACATATACAAGAGTTTATATACTAAGTAAATAACAGAAAGATCAGTAAGCAAGTGTCCGAGGCTATGTACGAAGCATAAGCAAAGTTATCAAGCGTGAGTTGGAAATGAAGCATAGGTTAACGGATCAGTAAGCATACCGGTAGTAAGTATAACCGAGATACTGAGGACAAGGAATACTGAATAGAGGAATAGGCTGTGTTAACATTATATGCACAGGAAATGAATTAGGAAGCTTATCATATATCGGATCGGAGGTCCGGACGAGAAGTGTGGATATACGGGATATGACATTAGGGCGATAGGACAAAGGATGAATGATGCAGGCTAGTTGCGGAGGTATGGAGGTTGTTACAATAACATGTAACCGAGAACCCCTCCTACGGAGGTCACCATGACCTTAGCCCTATCCCATCATATGCACCGTCTTGGAAGACTTACCGACTCAACGGAGACTCGTAGAGACGCCTAGAACGGCCTGGATGCCGTTAGATGACCTAGACCAGCCTAGGCTACATCTGATCGGACCTAGATGGTCCTCGACCCAGATCATGAGGAAGCTCTGCCTCATGGTCAGAAGAGAAGCCGCATGCCTTAGCATGCGCAGTTAGACTCCAAGGCATGCTTCGCCTTGAGGACAGATAAGAGAGGCATGGTAAGCCTCATGTATAGATAATCGACCGCATGGCATCAGATAAGATGCCCTTGTATAGACACATTTACATCTACCTACCGAACGTAGTATTGGTCTGTGCACACGGACGATAGTATATAGAGCAGACTAGAATCATGTATATTCCCTACTTGATTCTACTAGGTTTTCATCAGAACTTCCTCTGTGTGATCATCCCAATCACTCAGTCTAAGCCGCACCTTAAGGAAAGCCGACGCTACCTTAAGTGGAACCCCCGAACCTCTCATTCGAGAGAAGATCCCCGTCTCTCCAGTAGCGAGCCCGCTATAAAGATTAGGCAATCCGCCTAGGGAGAGCTCGAACTATCCTAGTCTGTAACAGAGGTCTGATGTATGGAGGTAAAGGGATCTGGATGTGGATGTGCAGAGGTGCAGGGATCCGGATGGGTAGAGGACTGGAGACATGGATAGGGTGTCCGAAGGTCCGGATGAGGCGTGGGAAAGACAATACTTCCAATAACGACACAGCATGTGCAAAGATTGAGAGCATTCTCCATCGCCAACAGATATATTCATTTGACACACTCCAACATTGTCTCCCTTGTCTCGCACATGTTGTTGACCTTGGTGTTGTTGCTATCATGTCAGTAATGACACAAATCACTAACATTAAAACCAGCACAGCGATATGGGAATTCGACCCCAATGATTGCAACAATCGTGTCCTTGGCAACTTGTTAGATGTTGTTGCTGCAGTGCACACCATTGCTATCAAGGTCTGTTTGGTTTTTTTATGTCCATTGTCATTCTACTAATATACTACACAGATTCAGTGTTCTGGACAGCGGATAGACTATTTCGAGACACTTCAAAAGAACTGTGGCCTGGAGAATACCCTCAAGATTCCATTACACAGCAATGTCAGGTGGGGCACTGTGGATGGAATGCTTGGGCATGCATATGCACTACGACAGGTATGTTTACACTATTCATTGTTGACGCTTACCAAATTACATCACACAGGTCATCAACATATTCATCAGCACAGCGGATGAGCTCTTTGGGCCAGTCACAGTCATTCGGCGCAACGGGAAACTGGTCAAGAACATCCCATGGACAGCATTTACAGAACTCGGATTGGGAGCGCATGAATGATGCACACGAAATCATTGCTGTAAGTCAACATTTTCTTATTTCTCTCATATACTGACTATTGTTTTATAGGATGCTAATAACATTCAACGATATTTTTCATCAGAAACACAACCAACACTGTGGCACGCCATTCCAGCAATCGAGGAACTCCAGACTGCATGGGAGATAAAATGTGATTTACCAAAGTATGAGATCTACAAGGATGCCATCCAGGCTGGCCTCAACAAGATCGGAAAATACTACCAGAAGTTTGATGACAAGCCTGTGTATGTTCTCGCGCTCGGTAAATGATATTTACTTGCACATCTACTTAGTATCGCTGACACCGTATTTAGTTCTCCACCCATATTACAAACTGGCATACATCCAGATGCAGTGGGGGTGGGCCCGAAGAGCAGGCAAAGGAGTGTGCTGCCAGAAATCCAAATGCTATTGATTGACACCATGAGGCCCTACAAGTTATCAAGGCAACCATGTAAGAATATTCCCAACATGCTCAACCAACAACTCCATCAGTGTCTCTGGGTTCTTCCACTGGTGACATCTCTTGTAACACTGCTAGCACTGAATCAGAATATGATCATCATTGTCGTGAGCTGGTGGAGAAGGCCAGCCTCCAATATAATTCAGGCTGGCATGCCGAACTTTGCTGTTATCTTGCTGACATGCCTGACAATGTCTTGAAGGATACGGATATCATTGTGTGGTGGTCGGTATATATCGATTACAATCTATCATGTGTCATACTAACATAACAATAATTTAATTCAGAAGAATGCCACTATCTACCCTGTTCTTGCCCACATCGCAATGGATGTCTGCACTGTCGCTGCATCTTCAGTGCCTTGCGAACACATATTCTCAGGTGGTGGGCAGACTGCGACTGACAGGTGCTCCTGACTAGGTGCTGAATGGTTTGAACAGCTTCAGATCCTTAATTTTTGTGGCGAAGTTCAGTCATTGATTGCATTGCTAAAAATTTAGCTGTTACTGAGGAAGTTTTACTTGATGAGTATGTTGAATTGCTTCAACTCAATGCCGAGATGTCTGAAGATGATTGCAATGAGGTTGATGTAGTCATAGGCTGAGTGTTTTAGCTATACAGTGTATATACAAGTGTGCCCTGCCTGTAGGCAACCAGTTTGAAAAAGACCAGTTGCAGTCAGTTTAAAGTTGGTCTTTTTTTCTTTGGTATAATGAGGCAATGTCATATTTTCATTGGTGACAAGACCACAACTGCGGTCTGGTTCAAAAAAAGTCCGGTCCCGGTCCGACTGCGGTCTTTTTGCGGTTTGGCAACTGGACTTTTAAACTCTATCCAAAGTACCAAAGTACTTGTTCAATGCAAGCAAAGGTGTTCTGAAGTTGAGAAATGAAGGTCTGATGATGCGCAGATGTTCTGAAGAGCTTGCGACTTAACAGTGAGGTTTCTGAGAGTCAATATAGTGAGTATGTCAGTGTATAAGACCAGCAAGAGTACCAAAGTACAACTATGCAAAGCCTATCGAAAGACTTAGAGATAGTGAGATGCGAAATAGCAGCGGTCAAACCAAACAATTATTCCAAATGAACAAAAGGATCAATTGTGTAAAGTATGACTTATCCGAAAGTGACTCTACTAACTATGACTCATAGCAAGGGAAGTGAAGTGAAGTGAAGTACAAATCAGCTGGCAAGTGGGATTATATCCTACAGCATAAAAGTCTGGAATTGTGTTAGTAAGAATA